GTGTGTGTGTGTGTGTGTGTGTGAGTGTGTGTGTGTGTGTGTGATTCAAACAGCTGCAGAGGTTTGTGTGTGCATCATATTCTGATTTCACACATTATCATCAGAAGTTCTTGTTGTTGCTGAATGTGAATGCGAGTGTGTTTTTAATTCTGCTGTGTGTGTTTTGCATGAATTGCTGCTGTAGGGTCAGAAAGGAGAGCCGGGGATTGTGTCTGGAGTTCATGCGCCGCAGGGACCCAAAGGACTGAAGGTCACCCATGACTTCTTTAACCTAAAGACTATAGAATATCCAAGACGTGTCACTCGTATAGTTTTGAATGGGGAAAAATGCAACGCTCAATATGGCCGCTCTATTGAAGGAAGCCCCGCCTTCTGAGTAAAAGAGCCAATCACTAATCGGTAAAGTCAGTGCATCACTGCAGCTCCCGGTTGCTATAGAAACAGTCAGCGTTCTGAGACACGCGTTTAGGACTGATCTACTGGCTGATCTAGCCTGATAATAAGCTTTTATTTTTAACACTATTAGAGCATAAGGAACAATATTTATGAGGCAGTTGTTGTCAAATATCATTGCATTGCATGCGTTTCAAATATGGCCGCAAATTACTTCTCTTAAAGGGACTTTGTTTAAACTTTATCTGCTGCATTACTCAAGACCAGTCAATCCACTTTAACACCAAACCTTTCTGAGACGGACAGGATTTATTTGCATTAATTTGATTTCCTTGCTTTACTTTACTTCTCACAGGGAGAATGTGGCGTTCCTGGACCTCCTGGTCAAGCGGTGAGCTGAAGATGCTGTGACTTTGACTCGTATTATTACTCATTATGAATGTTCCACATGAAAGTTTAAAGGGAACATGTTTAATTAATCCCATCAATTATTATGATAAATATAATTGTTTACATTATTCTCCAACTATTTTTCTGACATTCCTCCATCACATCTTCCATTTTTTTTCTAGAAATAATTTGCTAAAACTTAAAGCTTTAGTTGAATATCTCAGTTTCCAGCATCGTTATTTTTTCATCACTACAAGAAATGACAAAATCAGCCAATCAGAACATACTTGATATTTAATATACACCAATGTGAAAAGGACCAATGAGAGTTCACTGTGGGCGGAGCTACACAACTCAGCTGTTTTGATGCTTTTCTGCAATTCTTGAAACAGATGTTTATCCTAAATATATATATATATATATATATTTATAGAAAGAGGAGAGAGAGAGAGAGAGAGAGATCAGATTATATATAGAGAGATATAAGGTCATGTTGTTTATTGTTATTATCCTATACACTCAACAAGCCAGACCTGTTCATTCATTATATTTGGTCTAAACACGTAATCTCAGGACTATTTTCCCGTTATACTGGAAGCAGTCTAACTTACTCCCTAAATATTTTACAATTCATGTGTGTTTTTTCCTTTCCGGTGGCTTTGCTGTTTGCGTACAGCTGCTTCTGTTCACAATGTCTTTGTAAAGGTGTCGAGGCGAGAGCGGTCGACACCTGTTTTCGTCTGCATTGCTCTGATGTCTGTCTCGTCTCGTCTCATCCAGGGCCCTGTCGGACCCGCTGGACCAAAGGGCGAGTTCGGATTTCCAGGACGACCGGTCAGTTACTTATTAAAAACATAAAACTGCACATGCACACTCAATATACAGTTTATAATAACGGTCTTTAACAGCATTAGTGGACATGACATTATAACACGGAGAGTTCCGGTGCTTGATTCTGATTGGCTGAGCCGCGTTCGAAGCTGTTGTAAATAACTCTACAAAGTAACATACACCTTTGTTTACGTTTGTGTGTTGCTCGGCAACCACTTTGTTGCAACCACAACTGTTTCTGAGGAACTACATTGTTTGGTGGAAGAATACTGTTTTTATTAATATCATTACACTTTATTTGCTCTGTTTTATTCTGTGAACCCTTGCTACGTATATGGAATAACCGTTTTATAAAAGCAATAAGCCCCGTGAAGCCGTGGTTTACAGTGAATTTATAACAGCTAAGGGGTTTTGACACTCCGTGAACAACGCCCCTTAGCTGTTATAAATTCACTGTAAACCACGGCTTCACGGGGCTTATTGCTTAACAAGATTAACAGTAATGTTTAAAAGTTTGGGGTCAGGAAGATTTATGAAAGAAGTCTCTTCTGCTCACCAAAACTGCATGTATTTGGTCAAAAATACAGTAAAAATTGTTAATTATTATTAGAGCTTAAAATAACTGAAATCATTCTAATATGCTGATTTGCTGCTGGAGAAACATTTCTGATTATTATCAATGTTGAAAACAGTTGTGCTGCACAATATTTTTGTGGAAACTGTGATACATTTTATTTTTCAGGATTCACAGATGAATAGAAAGTTCAGAAGAACAGCATTTATTTGAAATAGAAATCTTTATAGATTATAAATGTCTTCACTGGCACTTCTGATCAATTCAATAAATCCATGATGAATTAATTATTAATTTCTTTACTACTCCAAGCTTTCAAACACATGTATATGCACAGTATATTGTGATTGTGATCATGTATGTTTCCTCAGGGTCGTCCAGGAATTAACGGGCGTAAGGGTGAAAGAGGAGATTCTGTGGGTTTACCTGTGAGTTTGAGTCATGTGTCCCCAAAAAACTATTATTACTTTATCAGAAAGACGTGAGCGTTCTTACTTTTAGCATTTTCTGCAGATTTGGTTCTGAAAGTATTTTTCAAATTCATCTCTCATATTTTTCACAGTTTTAACTGCACATATTTTAAAATCAAATGTCACAGATTACTACAGTAGCATATGCCATCATTCAGCAACCTTGAAGCCCATGCTTTGTCTGTCTTGAACGTTTTAATACATTATTGCTTAATAAATGTATATATGGATATTTTAAGTGGCACTTCAGTAAGTAACTAGAAAAAAACTAGATTGTTGAGCTCTCTGTTTCTCACACCATTTCATGCCTTTTCCCAAAAAATGTATAGGAACTAAATTGCTGAACTTGATATTCTTTAAAGAATCAAAGAATATTTAAAGGAATAGTTCACAAAAAAATTAACATGTGCTGTAAATGTGCAAACATGAGCCATCCGAGATCAGGATGAGTTTGTTTCTTCATCAGGTTTGTAGAAATGTAGCACTGCATCAGTGTCTCAGCAATGGATGCTCTGCAGTGAATGGGTGCCGTCAGAATGAGAGTCCAAACAGCTGATAAAAACATCACAATAATCCACAAGTAATCCACAGCACTCCAGTCCATCAGTTAACATCTGGAGAAGACAAAAGCTGAAACTAATCCAGCATTAAGACGCTTTTAATTTCAAACCTCTGGCTAAAATACAAATCCATAATCCATAATAAACATATGCATAAAAACATATTTTGCCCAGAAGCAACAGTTGATGGACTGGAGTGGTGTGGCAACATTTCTGCAAATCTGATGAAGAAACAAACTCATGGCCTGAGGATGAGTACATTTACAGAAAATTTTATTTCTTTGTGAACTTTTCCTTTAAGGCAAAAACAAGTTTGAGATTTTGGGCTTTTTAGTTCTTCATAAAGTGTTTTTTTTTTTCAGACTAGTGGAAAGAAAACATCTAAAAGACACTGTTAAGTGTTTCTTTTATAGCACTTTATCTATTTGTGTCAATAGATTTCAATTACAATACATATTTTTAAAGGCCATTTTCTCAAAATGATTTTTTTCTCCTACACTGAGCCATAAATCTCCACTTTAGCAGCACTTACACACACCAAACTTTACATTCCTGTCTGTACCCTGAAGGCTTTTACTGAGGGATTTGTTCATATATAATTTGCTTGATTATATACAACATTTTATTCCCCAAAAAATTGTGAAAAAATATTGTTTTCTGTCCGTTCTACGTATTTTCTGAATTATGACAAAAATGATATACCCAAATTCCCTCTGTAAAAACATTTGACTATAATATGTCAAAAAGTGTGTGTAAGCGTTTAGAAGCGGTTAGTAAGATGGTTGTGTTTTGTTTTTGTCTGAAGGGTCTGCCGGGGCCTCCGGGGCCTCCAGGACGAGCGGGGCCCTTCAGCTGTCCTAAAGGAGTGAGTGCGTCTCTGTCTCAAACACACAGAACACACAGAGTGCTGTTGCTCAGTGTCTCTTTCCCTCATGTTTCTCTAGACCGTGTTTCCAGTCCCTCCTCGACCCGGCTGCAAAAACCCTGTGAGTGTCTTATGTATGGTGTATCTCTCAGCTGTATGTTGAGACCCACGGAGAGTCAAAGACTGACTTTTAGAGTCAGTGATTTCATAGTAAACACACGTTATGTTTGAATAGTGATGCATGCTGTGGATAACTGTCTAAAACAAGCTCATCATGCACCTGTGAGCTCAGATGTGTGAATGTTTATCACTCTGTAATAAAATATATGAAGACTGCAGAGCTGTGCATATCCCAGCATTCAGTGCGCATGGTCCATAATCCACACAGGCATCTTTACGGCGCTCATTTCTGCATGCTGCATGTCATACGGACGGAGGAATGATCTGATCATGGTGCTTCATGCTTCTCCTGCATCTCTGCTGTGATGGAACGAGCATGGCGTGATGTTTGCTTTCCTTCTTGTATTTGTACACTCCTCTATTTTATTCCTGAAAGGAAGAGTTTTAGATGTTGTGCAATAGCTACACAAATCATCTCATGAAGAACACAGCTCGTTTTTCATCAGAACACGACTGACTCTTCCATATTCATCCAGCGTTTGTTTCCACATCCAGATGCTGAATTAACACTACTTTCTCACCAGTTATATTAACTAACACACATGTGTCTTTCTTTGCTTTTCTTCAGGTTAACAGTGATTCTACACAAGGTGAGTTTTAAGAGTTGTTTTCTTATTATCATCATACACTACTGTTTAAAAGGTAATACGAAATTAAGACTTTTATTGATCAAGGACGCATTAAATTGATCAGAAGTGACAGTAAAGACATTTATAATGTTACAAAAGATTTATATTTCAAATAAATGCTGTTCTTTTGAACTTTCTGTTCATCTGTGAATCCTGAAAAATAAAATGTATCACAGTTTCCACAAAAATATTGTGCAGCACAACTGTGTTCAACATTGATAATAATCAGAAATGTTTGTTGAGCAGCAAATCAGCATATTAGAATGATTTCTGAAGATCATGTGACACTGAAGACTGGAGTAATGATGCTGAAAATACAGCTGCGCATCACAGAAATAAATTACAGTTTAACAGAGATTCACATAGAAAACAGCTGTTTTACATTGTAATAATATTTCACTATTTTTACTGTATTTGTGATCAAATAAATGCAGCCTCGGTGAGCAGAAGAGACTTCATTAAAAACTTTAACCCCAAAGTATTGAATGGCAGTGTTTTTTGGCAGTACAGAATAATTTTCACTTTTTGTCTCACTTTTCTTGTTAAAACACATTCACATTAGAATCATTTCAGATTATATTTTGTCAGTGTTCAATGACTTTGTCTTTTTAATGATTACTCCTCTATTTTGCCCTTTTGTTTTGTCATAAGTAAATGCAAAGTGTATGCTTTCTGCAGTCTGCAGTTTTCAAAGATAATAACAATAATTTTCATTTTTCAAATGTCATATTTCAGGTGTTATGTATTTCAAACAGTTTTAGTCAGTGTTGTGTGTTTGCTGGTGTGTCTCTGATGGTTTGTGTTGATTGTGTGCTCCTGACCTGTAGAGGGAGCCAGCAGGGGCAGAGATCTGCCTTCATCCTCCTCCTCCTCCTCCGGTACACACCTGACAATCAGTCACATCACAGCATTAAGAGTTCACTCGAGCAGCTGTCCTTCTGTGTTTCTGATGCTCTGATCTGTTCTCTCACAGGCGACACGCTGGGAACCAAAGTCACGGTGAGTTTGGTCTCAGACATTCTCTCACAGACACTGAGAGCGCTTCGCTGCGAGACAATGATTGAGTAGAGACTGAGCTGTTGAATGTGTGACTGTGTCAGACTGCTAAAGGTGACCAGGGATTCAGAGGAGAGACGGGAGAAGCTGGGATGCCAGGGAGATCTGGTTCAGCGGTGAGTGACACACACACACACACACACATACACACTCGCACACACACACTCACTCACACACACACTCGCACACACACACTCACTCACTCACACACACACACACACACACACTCACACACACACACACACAC